TGCATGAAATAAAACATAATTTGGAATGATTTATGCAACCTAAATGATGCAAATTATGAACATATCACCTCTTCGTAGACCGTCTAGGTTGGTCTGCTCTACCTGTGATATAGGTCTTAAATCCACTGGAGACAAGGGATTAGTACCATAAACAACCTTGAAAGGTGACAGCTTAGTAGCTGAGTGCCTCGCGCGGTTATAGGCAAATTCTACAAAGGGTATATAATCTAGCCAAGTTTTCATATTACGCCCAAGGGCTGCTCTAAGCTAAGTGGAAAGAGTACAGTTTACCACTTCAGTTTGTCCATCCGTTTGAGGATGACAAGTAGTTGAGAAAAGGAGCTTTGTACCTAGCTTCCTCCACAGGGTTCTCCAAAAATGACTTAGAAACTTGGTGTCACGGTCAGAGATAATGGTTCGTGGGATCCCGTGTAGGCGTACTACCTCTTTGAAGAACAGTTTAGCAATTTGAGTCGCATCATTGGTCTTCTCACATGGTATGAAGTGAGCTATCTTTGAAAAGTGATCAACTACTACAAAGATAGAGTCCTTGTGTCGAATCTTGGGCAACCCTAAGACAAAATCCATGGAAATGTCTACCCAAAATATAGTCTTTTTCTTCCATTGTTGAGAATTGTATATTTCTGCCTCGCCTCGACCTCTCTTTTTCCCAACTGAACCATGTTTCTTACCAAGAATAATGTTAACTTGCTGAAGTTGATGAACAATTGTAGCACCTGTCAACTTCAATGGTGGAGATCGGGTTTCTATTTTTCCATCAAAACTAGTTTTATTTTGACGAAAATCATGATCTGGAGGAAGAAAACGACGATGACCCATAAAACAATTTTTCTTTCCATGGCGTAAACGTTGTCCACATGAATCAAAATTGCAGTTTGGACAAGCTAATGCTGTATACGTATTCCAACCAGATAAATTTCCAAGACCAGGAAAATCACTAATTGTCCACATGATGGCTGCTCGCATGTCAAATGTTTGTTTTGTAGAAACATCTAGCGTTTTGACCCCTTCAGACCATAATTCCTTTAATTCTTTGATAAGTGGCTGCAAATAGACATCAATATCATTACCAGGCATGTGCTTTCCAGGGATAACCATAGAGAGAATCATCGATGTCTGATTCATTGACATCCACGGTGGAAAATTATAAGGAAATAAAACCACTGGCCAAATGCTGTAACTAGAACTCATCGTACCGAATGGATTAAAACCATCAGTAGCCAAACCGAGTCTAACATTTCTTGGATCAGATGCAAACTCAGGATATTTTTGATCAAATACCTTCCAAGCACCTCCGTCTCTTGGATGTCGAAGTTTACCATCATTACTACTAGCAGTTGCATGCCATCTCATGTGGCTAGCAGTTTTTGATGACATAAATAGACGTTGCAATCGTGTTTTCAAAGAAAAATAACGTAAAACTTTCGCAGGAGCTTTTTTTTTCCTAGTCTCTGATCCAGCCATCAAATTCTTTGCTGTATTTATTTTCCATCGAGAAGCTTCACAAACTTTGCAAGTTTGTCTTTCTGCATCATCTTCCCAATATAACATGCAATCATTAGGACATGCATGAATTGACTCATATGCTAAACCCAGCTTACGGATAACTTTTTTCATTTCATTGAATGAATCCGGCAATTTAGCTTGAGTAAATGCTTCTTTTAGCAAACTGAGCACCATGGATATTCCTTTGTCACTAATCCCACACATGCATTTGATATGATATAACTTCAACAGAAATGACAGTTTTGTAAACTTAGTGCATCCTGTATATAATTCCTGATTAAAGTCAGCAAGCAACTCATCAAAACCTTCTCCTTTTCCATAATTTCCATTCGAAGTTGATGGTCCATCTGCGTCCATAGGTTGCTCCGATCCATTTCCATCAGATGTATTAATATCAGGAAAAAGATCATCCAAAAGATTCATAGTTGATTCTAATTCACCCGGAGCAATATTAATACCAGGAGATATTTCTATTGTATTTCCTACAACACCAACATCTTCTCCATGAAGTATCCAACTTGTGTAGGAATTTAAAAAGCCAAAACACATTAAATCACCTTCGACATCTTCTCTAGATCTAGATTTAGCTAGAGAACAGCGGTTACACGGACATTTTATCATGTTTGCATCTGTTTTGGAAAAAGAAAAATCCAAGAATTTTTTCACCCCGGTTATATAGTCTTGAGATAAACGTGGTTTGTTTATCCATGACTTATCCATTATAACCTAAACAAAAAATAAACATAATTATACAGTAATATTAAGTCAAAAAGCAAATATGTTTATGTAGCCGTATATGGATTCAACATTTTTAACATAATACAATGAACAATTCTTCAGAGTAAACAAGCTGGTAGCGATTGGTAAATTTGGTTTATTATCTATAATCCAAGGCTTTTTACTAACTCAATTTAACAGTCCTCACCTTAAAAACCTCACAAAGACAAGTCTGAAGAATAAGAGTTGGTATCCAGGCCCTGCAATAGACATAACACAAAAACTAGGGTTTTAGATTTGCAAATCCAGATTGTTTCTTGGCAGAGAAGATACAGTGATAACTTTCACGATTTACCTCTAAAACTGAATCTGAAAGTTGATCTGGAGAGAGGGATCTGAGATGTACAGATCGGTATGTGGATTGCTATCTGAATCCTTCTGAATCGATGGCAAAGCCTCTCAAAATTTGGCTCTGCGAAGCTGGAAAAATCAGATTTTGCAGAAAAAATGATTTTTCGCCAACTTCCAGCTCACGTAAAAAACGGAGCGTACCTCGGAATTATGATCTGTAAACTGCTATGGATTCTTTGCAGCGAGATCTTTCCATAGGTATGAAGATCGACACTTAACTTGATCTGAGTTGCTTGCAAACGCTACAGCAAAACCCTTACTCAGACAAATATTAAACTGATGTTGCAGAGGTTTTTATAGAGTTTCACTGCGTTAACTCTTTGTTTCTCTTAGAATAATGATTCTGCCCTTTATATAGAGAGGGGGACGAGCTCCCTAGGTATAAAGAATAGAAGAATTGACAAAAATACCTTTATTCTTATTTTAAGGCTTTTTTTTTAATCTTGGGCTTCAAGGAAATAATACACTATATTATCAGCATCAGTTTTTTTTTGTGATGTAAGTTTTGAATCATTTTTTTAAGTGATGTCAACAAAAACAATAATTACATCAATTATTTTAATTGATGTAAACATATATTTTATATCATTTTTATGAAAGTGATGCAAATTATTAGAGATTTGTATCAGTTTTATTTAAACCGATGCCAAAATAATTCTAAATAAAATCAATTATCATAACTGATGTTAATTAACATATTTTCAATTATTTGTTAATAAGTAATTCAAAATAGAATCATTTAATTTTTCGATGCAATTTAAGTGATGTAAAATATACCTTTTAAGTGATGTAAAAGTGAATCATTTTCTAAAGTGATGCTAGAAAAAATAATAAACACATCGATTATATTAACTGATGTGAATATATTTTTTTGAATCACTTTTATTCAAGTGATGTGAAATGAAAGAGTTTTGTATCAATTGTGATTATATGATGTAAAATTAAATCAAATAAAATAACTGATATATTATTAAATCATTTGTTATAAGTAATTTAAAACAAAATCATTTAATTTATGTGACACAAATTAAGTGATGTAAAACTCTTTTTTTTTTGTAGTGTTAGGTATAGGTAATGGCATAAAAAGACTGTGACGGTGTAACCTGGATTTGGCTTTGTGACATTGGACACATTTGGCGCAGAACGGTTCCACATCTTTCTTTAAGTGTAGCCAATAGAAATGGTCCATCATTACAGCCAGGGTCTTATCCACTCCAAAATGCCCCATTAGTCCTCCTCCATGTGCTTCACTAAGCACCATTTCCCGCATGGAACCCTGCGGAATACACAAACATTTATCTTTAAAAAGGAACCCGTCTTGTAAATAAAACGAACCGTAGGGCCCTTTAAGGCATTCTTGATAGCATTCTCCGAGCTCGGGGTCGTCTTGGTATTGGGTCTTGATGTGCTCAAACCCAAAAATTTTGGCCTCCATTGTGGAAATCAATGCGTGTCTCCGAGAGAGTACATCAACCACCACATTTTCTTTGCCCTTCTTGTACTTAATGATGTAGCGGAACGTCTCTATAAATTCTAACCACTTTGCATGTCTCCGTTTGAGTGATGTCTGGCCTTTCCATTTCTTTAAAGTCTTGTGGTCAGTGTGTATGATAAACTCCTTGGACAACAGATAATGTTGCCAAGTCTCGAGAGCCCGTATAAGAGCATACAGCTCTTTGTCATACGTGGGGTAATTAAGGGTAGCCCCACTGAGCTTCTCACTGAAGAACACCACTGGCCTCTTTCTTTGATGCAGGACAGCTCTTATGCCCAAGCCTGAGGCGTCGCATTCCACTTCGAACATTTCATCAAAGTCAGGCAATGCCAAGACCGGTGCTCACGTAAGTTTTTCTTTGAGGGTGTTGAAAGCCTTTTCTTGAGCTGCCCCCCAAGCAAATGGAACGTTCTTCTTGATAACGGCTGTTAGGGGGTGCTGCTATCGTGCAGAAATCTCACACAAACCGTCTGTAGAAGCTAGCTAGGCCGTGAAAAATTCTCATGTGCCCTATTGTAGTAGGCATAGGCCACTCTTGTATGGCTTTGATCTTTTCCTCATCGACTTGTAGCCCTTTCCTGCTTACTACAAAACCTAAGAAAACAAGTTTATCAGTACAAAAGATGCACTTCTTCAGGTTGGCATAAAGACCTTCTTTTCATAGTGTTTTTAGAACGAGCTCAAGATGAGTTAAATGATCAGATGGTCCTTTACTGTAAATGAGTATGTCGTCAAAGTAGACAACAACAAATTTACTAATATAAGACCGTAGAACCTGGTTCATGAGCCTCATAAAGGAGCTCGGTGCGTTTGTGAGGCCGAATGGCATCACCAACCATTCGTATAAGCCTTATTTGGTTTTGAAGGCCGTCTTCCACTCATCTCCTTCCTTCATCCTTACTTGATGATATCCACTCTTTAAATCTATCTTGGAGAAGATAGTGGCTCCACCGAGCTCGTTAAGCATGTCGTCTAAACGTGGGATCGGATGCTGGTACTTGATGGTTATGTTATTGATGGCTCGGCAATCGACGCTTATCCTCCAGCTACCATCTTTCTTGGGGACCAGTAGAACAGGCACAGCATAGGGGCTAAGTGATTTTCTGATGTACCCTTTGTCCATGAGTTCTTGCACTTGTCTCTCCAACTCCTTTGTTTCTTGCAGGTTCATGCGATAAGAAGCCTTGTTGGGAAGCGCTGAACCTGGAACAAGATCGATCTGGTGCTCTATGCCTCACAGAGGTGGGAGGCCAGGAGGGATATCTTCAGGAAACATGTCTTTGTACCTGTTTAATAAGGCGCTGACCTCTGGTGGGATCTCCATATCTTTTGATTCTGCGCTTAGACATTCTTTGTAAAACATTAGTAATATAGTGCCATCGGCACTTAAAGCACGAATTAATTCTCCAAAGGTAATATATAAGCTAGACTTATAGGACTTACACTCTTGAGTCATCTTACTTTGAAGCTCGTGAACTTCAGATGGACTTGGACTTAAGGGTCCTAAGTTAAACTTACGGTCCATGTGTGTGAAGTTATAGTAATTGGTGCGGCCGTTGTGTAGGGTGACTTTGTCAAATTGCCAAGGTCGACCTAGTAACAAATGTCCGGCTTGCATTGGCACCACATCACATAGCACCTCATCTCGGTACTTACCAACGCTGAATGGTACGGTAACTTGCTCGGTTACCTTGAGCTCTGTGGCATCATTAAGCCATTGTAGCTTGTAGGGCTGCATGTGCTTTGTCTTTTCAAGACCTAGTTTGTCCACCATGAACTTGCTAGCCACGTTAGTACAAGATCCACCGTCTATAACTAGATTACATACCTTGTTCTTGATTGTACATCGCGTGTGGAACAAGTTCTCTCGTTGGACCGTCTCTTCAGGTTTCACTTGAACGCTCAAAACCCTCCGGGTCACCAATAGATACTCTCCAGTTTTGGGGTACTCTACATCTTCCTCTTCACTGTTTACCTCCATCTCGGCTTCATCTTGAGACTCATAACCACTTGGGATAACGATCATGATCCGTTGGTTGGGGCAGTCTCCCTGACACTTGAAACAAAAAATGTCTCGGGTTCTAGCTTGACTAGTGTTTTGAAACTTACCTTGTTCCGGCTTGTTGAATTTTGGAGGTTCGGTGGGTTTGCCTTTGAATCGAGACTCGATCTCTACAGCTTTGCCTTTATCTAGTGGTTCGCTGGTGCTGGCTTGCCAAGGCTGAATGTTTCGGCCTCGGTTTGAAAGAGATGATTTTCTCTTGATTTGTTGCTCCACTTGCACCGAGAGGTGTAGCTCATGTAAGCCACTATACTTAACCCGCTCCACCTTCCGAGCTATTCTCTCTTGAAGGCCATCGACAAACTGAGCCATAAGAGCCTCTTCGGACTCTTCTAACTCCAAAGAGTTCATGAGTTTCGCACACTCTTCAAAATACTCCTCAACGCTCCTTGATCCCTGTGTCAACTTACGAAAACGCTTTTGTAAGTCCCTATGATAATGTTCTGGCACATACCTCAACCTCAGTAGATATTTTATGTCGTGCCACGTTTGAATTGGACCAAAGACTTGTAGCCTCCTCTCAGCTACGGTGCGATCCCACCATGCCAATGCGTTGTCGTTGAGCTGAGATACAGCTAACGCAACCTTCTTGAGTTCACCATAGCCGTAACACTCGAAGATATACTCCAAGCGCCTCTCCCAATCTAGATAAACCTCAGGGTTTGATTTGCCTGCAAAAGTAGGTGGCATTAGTTTCATGTTATTGTTAACTTCCCTACGCTCTTGTTCTCTCGGCCTGTTTCTGAGCAAAGGATCTTATCTCCTCTAGTGGCGCCGGTTCAAAGGGTCAGGAGGTTGATCCTCTTCTAGTTCCGGCATGCTGTCTGACTCCGAGTCCTCAAGATTAGGGTTACGGTTGGCTCGCACATTCGTCTGAGCTGGTGGAAGATCCGCGTTGAGAGCCCTCGGTTGTTGTGGCTCAAGACGCGCAACACGCTCACGAGTGTCTCGCAGCTCCTCCCTCATGGTGGCAAGCATCGCCATGAGCTCATTATGTTGCTGGCCATTGACGTGGACTGGTGCGGCGTTGTTGGTATTTTCACCGTTGTTTCCCATGATTTTAGCCTGCGGATCCTTGCAAGCTCACCAAAACCAACAACTCGTCAAAATATCAAATGCGAATAGGAAAAACGCCAAAGGAACTTAAACTCTAGCAAAATTCTTTTGTTATTTTCTAGTTTAATCTGAAAACGGGTATGCAAAAAATATGAAATAAGACTATGATATATATATATATATATATATTGAATGCTAATGAACAGAAATAATTAACGCTTAACTAACAAACCCTAACTATATATATATATATATATATATTTCTTATTAAACTTGAACCGATCTAAACAACCTAACGAATGAGGGATAAGAGAGAAATAACAAAAGATAAAGGTAAGAAAACCCAAAGCAGGAACTTCGGCTCTGATACCAAACTGATGTAAGAACCGGTGGTGGCTCTCACTCTGAGGATACAGGTGGGAACTAAGACAGGCGGTCGCCCTCTCCTTAGCTCTTGTGGTGATTAGATGATCTGACACGCAGGCGGTCGCCCTTTCGTGTGGGATCTAAATGGGGTGTGATGGTGGCGTGAGTTCACAACACAGAGGGATGGTCAGTCTCTAATACGGTGAAGGCTCAAAGCTTGCTTGAATCGCACAAACAAACCAAGAACAACGTGAAATCGCTTCTCGGGTAAACTTTGAAGAAAGTTTGATATTTTATTGATATGGGGAAAAAGTCTGCGGACTACAATGCTGCAAAAGAACCTTATAAACTGGTTCGTCAGCTTGAACCTTCTAGGGTTCGACTCTTGACTCAAAACAACAGGACTAAGTAAATAAAACTCAAAGAAAACAAACCTATTCTACGAAACAAAGCTCATCGTTTCATTTATTATAAAAATGGAAAGTTTGAAATAAAAGACTTAAACTACACGACGTGAGTCATTTAACTCTGACACTTAGTCGCTGGAGATGTTGGCTCCTCTTTCAAGCACAATAAAATAATTGAAACATTTACCTTGGGATGGCGCGGCTCGTTTGGTGTCGTGTGCGGCCGCAGCGTTTATTGAAGTGTCCTGCATTGGCCTCCTGTGGCTTTAGTCGCTTGAGGCATCTTCTAGTCCCGGAGAATCTTGATCTTCGTGTTCCTTAAGCTCTAAGACTCTTGCTTCTTGAATGGCTAGTCGCTCGGCCTCGGTTAGCTCGTTATCGCGTCCACTTGGTGTGTTGTGAAGCAACTCCAAATCTGTATGTTCGCCTGCTAGAATTCCACGTGCATTAGTCTTATAATATGTACTTGATTGAGAGAAATTAACTTTGTTGGTCATTTCTAGATCGTCTGGTGGCTCGGCCTGTGTTGCATGGCATTTCTCGGCTAAAACGAGTGTGGCATCGGCAATTTCCTGTTCTGTTTGTTGAAATTTAATTCTGTCTTGAGCGTTGGCTTCGGGAGATGATTTTGGTCGAGGAATGTCAGCTCCATTTTGGTCAATTCTATCGTCAGGGTGGTCTTTCCGTAGAGGCTTCATTTCCTCGGCTAAAAGTTCTCGCGCATCGGCTATTTTTGGGCTATCTCCGAGTTCTTTAAGTTTTAAGTCTGTAAAATAAATATTGCTCGGACTGTCAGCTTTTAAATCAAAAGTTGGTCGAGAGATGTCACATTGGCCTTGTGAGAATCGATGGTCTGGTGTGTCTTCTCCTTGAGTCATGTTCTCGGGTCCGATTTAGCCGCAAAAGTCGTTTAAACCGTGTATGACTTGTAGATCTGGTAACAGGGGGTC